TGCACCCTTCAGTATGGATTGAGGCTTAATGTCAAGAAGACAAAGATTCTCACCACTGAACCAATTGGCAGCATCAGGATGGATGGTGAAGAGATTGAGATTGTTAACAACTTTAGTCTGCTTGGCTCCATGGTCAACACTCTGGGCACCAGTAGCCAGGAAATAAAAAAATGTATTGTGATGGGAAAGTCTGCTGTTAGGGTCCTCTCCAGGGTACTGAAGAGCAATGGTGTCACTCTGGAGACTAAGGTGTGTCTGATACAGCCGATGGTCTTCGCAATCACATGTTATGCATCAGAGAGTTGGACAATGACTACGGAGGATAGGAGGTTCTTGGGATATTTAATGTCAGCTGAATCCAGACTCTGACTTCTTGAGGCACTCTAGGTTTGAGGGCTCCAGGCACTTGTGATGGTTTTTTGGGCCCATGAGGGGGTTGGCAGAGCAGACTTGCCAAATGAACTGGGGGTCTGGGGCAAGGAGTTTGCCAGCATTTGGGCGTGCCAGTCTGGTAAGACACTGAAAGGTCAAGCCCTGCCTAGGGTCTTGGGATATTTAATGTCAGCTGAATCCAGACTCTGGCTTCTTGAGGCACTATAGGTTTGAGGGCTCCAGGCACTTGTGGTTTTTTGGGCCCACGAGGGGGTTGGAAGAGCGGACTTTCCAGATGAACTGGGAGTCCGGGGCAAAGAGTTTACAAGCATTTGGGCGTGCCGGGCTGGCAATCCACAGCCCTCGGGCCTGTCTTTCATTGTTTTTGTTCAGACATTCCTCTAGGTCGTAAAGCCCTGAGGTACAAGTTGCTGTACAGCGGTCACTTGTGGTTGCTGTGAGGCTGAACACTGCGACACACTGATGTGTCAAATGCGTTAATGGTTGGTTACCCAATGCGTACAGGGAGTGGGGTGGAGCTCCCCGATTAAAACAAGCTTGGAAGGAGGAGTGGCATCCACTTCTGTAATAGCTTGCTTCCAGGAACCCTACGATCCTGGAGAGAGGATGAAAGGCACCCAAGCATCGAGGTCTCTCCTTCATAGGGTCACTATGAGTTGCCTACAACTCGATGGCACTTAACAACAACAACAGGAAGGACAGAAAGATAATTGATGCCTTTGAGTTGTAGTGCTGGAGAAGAGTATTGAATGTACCATGGACTGCCAAGAAAACAAACAGATTCATCCTGGAGAGGGTTAGACCAGGCTGCTCCTTGGAGGCAAGGATTCTGGGGCTTCGTCTGACATATATTGGACATGTTGTAAGGAG